TTTTTTTTTTTTTTTGCGGTACGTGGGCCTCTCACTGTTGTGGCCTCTCCCATTGCGGAGCACAGGCTCCGGACGCGCAGGCTCAGCGGCCATGGCTCGCAGGCCCAGCCGCTGCACGGCACATGGGATCCTCCCTGACCGGGGCATGAACCTGTGTCTCCTGCATCGGCAGGCAGACTCTCAACTACTGCGCCACCAGGGAAGCCCGCTCTTATAACATTTAAATGTACCATCAAAATTACATTTCATATTAATTTATTTTAATACTAAAGATCTCAGATTCACAGTAAACTCTATTTTGAACACAAAGTGAAGCCCTTAAACTGTAAGGGTTTCTAAGTATGAATTATTGTCAAATGCCCTCAATTTCTGCCTTGATGACCTACACTAAAGCTTCTGATGCCTGCTAATCATATAATGGGTAAATGAATAAAGGACGCCAAAAAGATTACGTGATGACTTGAGAAAGTGTCTGTATAGAGGTGCCTGCACATTCTAATTAAGTTCTCCTGATGTTAAAATTGCAGGAGACCATGAGTTGTAATAGTGTAAACTGTTTAGGTAAAAGAGGCAAGGAAGAGAGAACATTATGTGAACACATTGGTCAGATAAATGAAAATAATTTCATGTAACAAAGTCTGGTTCTGTCTGCCCTAAACCAAGTCATATTGTTTATTTTACAACTTGGGTTAGTAAGAACATGATTACCATTTAGGGAAGTAGTTTTCTGTGAAATTATTCCCTAGCTCATTTATCATCACCACCGCCAAGTATAAAAATTATCTTCAATCACAATCTCGATTTACATGACTCCAAGAATTAGAACTAAGAAAAATGGGTGGCATTGGTAGGGAGACCAGGCTACTTACTTATTAAGTGATTCAAACCCAGGTCTTCTGGCTGCTAAACTCATATTCTTTCCACTATGCTGTACTAGCTCTTTCTCAATAATAAAGTCTAAAGTAAGCTTTCAGAGTTTGCAAAGATCTACTATCTCATTTAATCTTGGTAATAATCCTGTGAAGTTGGGGCAACATAGTATCTCTAATACAGAGGACACTGGGTACCCAGGGATAAAATAATTTATGCATAGAAGATGGACTGAATGCCTGGCAATATCCATAAGATGCAAATAACTACTAAAAAACCTTACTGTGTGCAACTGAAGTATTTGACCTTTAGAGTACGCATATTCTTAAATGAGTACAATGTATCTGTTACCCTTATATTCTAGGGATGGTAAATACCAGATATCTGTACTGCTCCTCTTCTTTTCCACCGTAATCCTCCAGCACACTCTTTTCTGCTAGGCCCGAACCCAGCCTCAGAATCTTTTTGAACACACAGTTCCAGGCAGCCCCTATCAACTGACACAGATAAAATCTGCATTCCTATTCTGACTCTCTCCATTAGGGCCTACATTATATAATATTGTGAAATATATAATATTCTATAACATCTTACGGAAAAACCCAAAGGAACTTTTTGGCCAACCCAATACTTGTTTTTGACATTTTGTCTTTGCTTTTGATTGGATATTTGTTTTCATGGTTCTCACGTTATTTCACATTTGTATATATTGTCTTCTCCAGGTACCGGGACTCTACCTTATTTTGATCTCAGAGCACCAGCTGCAATGATTCATACACAGCAGGCACACAAGGTGTTCTGAATATACCTGAGACAAATGCATGGTATTTATGAAAAAAATCTGAAGTTAAAACAACAACAACAAAACAACAACAACAACAAAAACCTTCCCTTGTTTCTGATTTTAATTTAGGCCAGGAGTTGGTAAACTTTTTCAGTGAAGAGCCAGATAGTAAATATAAGTTCTGTGGGCCAAATGGTCTCTGATGTAACAACTCACCTCTGCCATTAGTGTGTAAAGCACCCATAGACAACATGTAAATGAATGAGTGTCTATATTCCAACAAAAATTTACTTATGAACACTGAAATCTGAATTTTATATAATTTTCACACGTCACACATTATTCTTCTCTTGACATTTTCCCCCAACAATTAAAACATATTAAAAAATAAAAACATTCTTAGCTAGCAGGCCATAGAAAAAGAGGGGGTAGGCTGGATTTGGCCGATGGGCCATAATTTACTGATCCCTGGCCTAAATCTGTGGTTTTCAAAGTGAGAACTTCAAGTGGTCTGCAAGATCCTTTCAGCAAGTCCAACTACCTGTATGTGAAGCCAGATTTTCTTTGTACGCTTCAACCAAAACAGTGTACAACAGACTGACTGCAGGAGCAAATACGAGGATCCAGCTGCCTTCCATTAAGCCAGAAACTGAAGAGATTTGCAAAAATGGAAAACAATGCCAATCTTCTCACTAATTTTTCTTTGTTTGGAAAATATATGAACGTTATGTCATAACGTTCTTTGTATTAACATGTAATGGGCATATGATCGATTTTTTGAAGTGGATTAATATTTTTTAAATTCCTCAGTTTTGATTTCGAATTAGATGCCAACAGCTATAACCCATGGAAACAAAAGCTGTCTGGGGGGCCCTCAGTAAACTGTCAGATGTAAGGGGATCTTGAGACCAGACAGTCTGAGAACCGGCTGCTGAGCTAGAGTGGGGTGAACGGATTCCTGCCGGCAGGGCCGCCTAGGCCGAGTGGGAGCACGTCCTTAGGTCAGGGCACCTGGCAGACGGCCTCATTTCAATCTCCTTCTCGACTTCCCCCACCTGAGAGTTTCCTGGCATTTCTTTCATTAAATCCTGATTTGGTAAAATTTAATCCCATACAATTTATGTCCTCGTAGAATAAATCTGGTGAAAATGTGGGGTGATTTTCATGAAAGAACTCTTCTGCTATGTGCAGACCATAAGAACGCTTTAGCCTTTGTCAAAACAGACAGCTAGATGCAAGTATCTCTCCCTGGCTTGTCTTTTCCAATCTTTAAAAAAAAAAAAATTACTATTCTAATTCTTTGCCTTCAGAATACCTCTCAAAATAAACAGATTCACTGGCCTCTTTATAAATCACAGTCCCTTTGACTTGGCTCCACAAAAACTGTAGGAGCCCGGTGCTAATCAGCATCCTCACTGGTGTTGAATCTAAAGAAAGGAAATCCAGTAGGCATGGTGCAAGTTTAATTGATAGCGTTAATAATAATGCACAAAAAAATCACATTTTGCAAGTAAAGTATACGCATCTTATAGGGCATCTCAAGAGAGTCTTAATATTTTGCTTGTTCTACCATTTGAGACTTTTTAAAAGACTACTGTAGAAGAAATAAAAGGGAAAGCTGTCTTAATTCTAGTGTTATCATATGTAAGGAAACCTTACATAAGGGAGCTCTTCTTTCAATATAAGTTTACTCTGTCGTAAGTTTTAACTGTCTAGACAAATGATGTATATACTGCTGGCCTGGGGAAACCTCTCCCTCACCCCCCATTTTAGAGAGAATTAAAGAAACAGTAACTATAATTCCAATAATAATCATTTTGTTGAATTATATATCCTTAATTATAAAGTGTTTTCACGTGAGCATATGATTCTAAAGATCTTTATAGTTTTCTCTTATGGAATAGTAACTTTGTAAACAATAACAAAGTGGGAAGAAATTTCTATTTTTGGGTATTTGTCCTTTAATCTGTATTATAAAATATCTAAAAAAATCAAGAATTATGATCAGATGGATGCTAAATCTGCCATAATTTGTGATTACTGGCTCCAAGTAGAAAAATAAAATACATTTGGCTATTTTGACCAAGACCAAAACTTCAATTCCCTAGCATCTTAAGACCAGAAAGGCACTAACAAATTATTACCTGTTTGGGGGATTATTACCCATTTGGGGGAACAGTGCAAATTATATTAGGGAGATTTTGGTAGCTGTGTTGTTCAATGAAGAACAAAAAAACGGATTTAAAATGTGGGAAAAAGTGCTTACTGTTTAAATCTACAGTAAAAGCAAAAGTCTCATCATGATTGCAAAACATTCCAAATTGTGAAACTTAAGTTATTTGTAAAATAGACAAAAGTAAAGCAGCTTCCTCAGTCATTTTTTGAGATCTCAGCATCAATTTAAAGAAAATGCTTATATTTAAAAGAAAGCCTATTTCAAAATATGAATCCCTATACTAAGTACAAATATGAACACGAAGTAAATTTATATATCATGCATTTCTGTTCCATGTGTATGCACAAATGAAGGTGATATGAAAACTAAAGTTTTAAAAAAAACTTTATTTGCCTCAATTCTTTAAGGAATAAAAGAGCCTCAAACCTAAAAGAAAGAACAAAGTTGATGCTAATGTAAAAACAATAAAATTACATAAAATTGTTAAGTGGACTATATGGAAAAAGAGCGGGGGAAAAAAGGACATATGTACTTCACTGTATAGAAAATATATATTTCTGCCAACACTGTCTACAAAATTTTTTGGGTACAACTAATAATTTTTTCCACTCTCATTTTTAAATCAAAATTATGTTCATTAAAAACCTGAATATAATAAAGTTTCTTAGGAAGGCAACGAATCCAAAGCTCACATGGAATTTATACTACCACCAAGATAGAGGGATCAGGAGAATTCTGGTCTCATATTTGAGAAGACACTGCTCCTGCTACTCTAAAACAGCAAAACTAGAATCAAGGTATGGTTGTTTTAAAGCTTGGCACAGCAGTTTAAAATGTGAAAAAACACCACCGTTATTTTAATAAAATAGCTTTCAGTTTTATTTTCCCAATTCCCTCCCCAGCAGTGGGACAATAACAGTGTAACTTTCTCTACCTGCTGGGGAGTTTTCTTAGCACTTTGTGGAAACTGTTGGTTTTCAGAAATGGGCAGGCTGATGTGAACCAAAGTTAGACCAAATACAGAATTGCAACAACAATACAAAAGCAATTTAGAAAGAGGATCAAGCCAAGCAGATAAGCGAACTCTATAAGATCAGATTTCTGGGACTGTTCATCCAGTCAGTTCCCTAATTTCAAAAAGCCAAACCAAAGCAAAGCATGCTGACTTACATTGCTTCTTTAGTTCTTTCAGCTGTTGTTTAAATTGTGCAAATTTCTCATTATTTTGAAAGTCTGCGTCAGAATTCTTATTCTGTAAAGCCGAAAACTTCTCCTCCACTAATGATTTTAGATTGGGTATTTCTTCTGGATGCTCTTTTACCTGAGGAAGACAATAAAGTTACTTTAGTTAAAAGTTAACAATGACACAGTCTTGTAACAGTACTTTTCTCTCATTTCATTCAAATAAAAGTACAATGAGGTAGAAAACAGAATTCCCCCCAACAGAGAACCAGAAACGCTGGGACTTGTTCCAGAACAGACTGCTAGTGAACAGCAGAGGGAATCATTCATCCCATCCCATAGTTTCCTTTCTTAAGCTATGCCTTCAATTGCCCTGCTAGCTTGCTGCGTCCAGACAACTGCTGGGGAAAAATTTCACACCAGTGCAACTGTGTCCTCCACCTTCACCAGAACTTGACCATGATGGCTCCTTCCTTTTACTTAGGTCTGTTCAGTCCCCTCTCCTTCCTCCCGAGGGCTCATTCCATCCTTCATTCTCTTCAGCACTCCTCTTCTCTGGCCCCTGGTCCCAGCAGGTGAGTGTGGCTCCCACTTCACAAAACAGGTAAGATTTCAACCTTAAACTTCCACCACCTGCTGCCACAAGGAAAAAGTGCCCCTATTCTGTTCAAGGCTAAACTCTCAATCTTTATTCTTTTTTACCCCTCACAATATTTTATTATAAATTTTTCAAACAGGCAAAAACGTGGAAAGAATTGTGCTTTACCATTCAAAGTCAAAAGACGATCTGCAAGCCCTCTGCTTCGATTAGCTTTTGTCATGGAGGAAAGAATTAGATAATCTTCTTTTGTTCAATTGCTATGCATTTTAATTAGCTGAATCGAAAATGAAAATTAAGCACGAAACCAAAATGCCTAAATCCATATTTAAAGTACAGAGTGTAGGAACTGTCTACTCATTGTACTGATGAAACTCAACCAGTGCTGGATCCACCATCAAAGAGAGGTGTGAAAAAACATGGAGAAGCCTTAATGACAAGTTATACGTAATTAAAAATCTAAACCAAGTCCTGTAAGCCTAAAAAACCAATAAAGCTCAGTTTGGCTAGAGAAGGTAGAAAGACAATTTAATAATGCCTTATATCTCAAGAATAAGAGCTATTATACGCGGTGACTGGCTATCCTCTGCCTCTACACCGGACAGAACAAGTTCAAGATAGCAGCATGAAGAGGTCAGAGTAGATAGATACAGAAAATAAATTATGAGTTTTTAGAAAAGAATTATGGGCTCTCTTTCTGGATTTATAAAATAAAGTCAACTCACATCCACCTGAGATGTTAAGGGGGACATCACAGGCAGGCATACAGGTGAACCTTCTCAAGGTCTTCGATCAGTATGAAATTATTATTTAAGCTGCAATGGTCAGAGAAGATCTGATCTGAGCAGATTATCAACAAATGCAGATGTTCTCTTCCAACAAAGTCTCTAACCCACTCAGCATACTTCATTTCCTTCGTTCAACTACACCACAGCTGAGGAGCTGGGCAGAAGAGTGCAGGGTTGAGGGATGGAGAGGGTAGGCATTTTGAGGTTGACAACACAGCAACCTGAAGTATGACTAGGAAAACCTGAACACACCAAATTTAGTGATTCAGAGTACTTCCTCCCCCCACAGCAGAACCTCGAGAGAACTGCTCTAAAGTACATAAAATTCACTGCGGCAAATATCTTCTCTGGAAACTTGATGCTGCAGCTGGCATAGCTATCCATTGCAAAGAGAACTTACTGTACTCTAGCTATCAAAATGAGAGCCTGGAAAATACTAAGCTCACTACCTGTTTAAATCAATGCAATAAATGGGGATTAAACTATATTTTTAATGGTTTCCTGCTTCGTTTGTATCTTTAAGATAAATAGATACATAATCCCAAAAGGGGAAAGAAAAAAGCCATTCTTTGAGTAGTTAGTTGATCATAAGTGTTACCTAGCCTGGAAAAGGTAAGGATGGCCCTCTTCTCCTAGGACAAATGTAAAATACCTCAAAGAAATTTGAGATGGGAGGAGAGGATCTATTAGATCCTCAGTCCATCGCTTTCCTACAGATAAAGTTCCTAGATACAAGACACAAAACCTCAGTTTTAAGTCACTGGGTGTATTAGTTTGGTAGGGCTGTCATAACAAAGTACCACAGACCAGGTGACTTAGACAACAGAAATTTATTTTCTCATAGTTCTGGAGGCTAGAAATCTGAGACCAAGGTGACAGCAGGGTTGGCTTCTTCTGAGGTTTCTTTCCTTGGCTTGCAGATGGCCAGCTTCTCCCTGTGACACGGTCTTCCCTCTGTATCCAAATATTCTCTTCTTAAAAGGACCAGTCATTGGATTAAAATGAGACACCCCCATGACCTCATTTTAACTTTCATTATCTCTTTAAAGACCCTATGTCCAAACACATCCTGAGATATTAAGGGTTAGGACTTCAACATAATGAATGTTGGCGGAACACAGTTCAGTTCATACACTGGGCTAAAGAATTTTGAAAACAGAATTTTAAAAATAGCTTATAACATCTTATGGAAAAACCCAAATGAACTTTTTGGCCAACCCAACAGATTGTTAATCTTTACACCATTATAATTTTTAAATGATAGACACTACTGAGAAGTAAACTTATTGGACACCATACTTAGAGAAAGAATTTAATACTGCCCTGGGGAGAGAAAAGGTCATGTTTTTAAGTACTACCTACTTACCCAGTGAGTGCCCTCTCCATGCTAAGCTTTGTAGCTAAACAGGAGAGAGGACCAGAAAAGTTGGTTGGGAGTAGGGTGGTGAACAGCTTTGGGAGCCAGGCTATGCACATGAGGCCTGACCTGATAGGCAGCAGGGAAAGACACTAAAATATTCTAAGGAATAAAGTAATAATACAATGAGAAATTTCTTTCTTTCTTTTTTTTAATGACGGCTGTAGTTAAAGCATAGAGGATGCACTAAGATAGGAAGGGAGAAAGAAGTTATTGGACTATGTTAACTAATGGTAGAGGGGCAGGCAACTTGACCAAACTGTAACACTATTTTTGAAGCAGAATCGCTGAGTCATTTTGTGAGAGGAAGACAAGAAACTGATAATGACCTCAAGATTTTTAACATTTAATATGGGCAACTAATTAAATTTAAAATGAGAGCATGTGAAAAAAGAGAAGAGAAATGCAAAAGGACCTCTTAAGGAAAAAAAAAAAAAAGAGCAAAGAAGAAAACCAGGAGTAAGGCATGCCAAGAAGAAAGGAAAAGAGAAAATTCCTTAAGAGACGCTTGTCCTTTGGAAAAAATGATGCAAGAGAGCTTAAGTAAGATAAGGGCTAAAAAAGAAACCACTGGATTTAATTACCAGGTACTTGGTACACTGCACTGGAACTATTTATCTGTTTCAACCTACTAGCTTGCAAAGCTTCTCTCGGGCAAGGATTATTTCACTGGTGCCCAGTGTACTATCTGTTGTACAGTAGGTGCTCAAATGACCTTGATGAACTAGTGAATTACAGGGACACCAAATTCTACTGTAGTGACATGAGAAGAGGGACTAACGGAGTTACGTGTGAGCAAGTGAACAAAGTCTGGCAGCAAAGGAAGGAGAAAGAGATGGGAAGCAGATCTTGGGAAAAACACAGCAAAAGACACTTGTTTATTTGTACAGAGGTCAACAGTAGCTTGGAGTGAAGCTGACATGATGGAGGAGAAAGAACATGTACCTCAGGATCAGGCAGGTCTGGGTCCCTAAGTTGTGGATTTGGGGACAGTCCTTCTAGGCCTTGGGTTTCTCTCACTTCATTAGGAATCAGGAACACCCGTGTCAGTGCCATGGAGACTTAATTACACCATGTTTGTGTTTAACTCGGTACACAGTAGACATTAAATTTTCTTACTCTTTCCTTCCAACTTTAGCATAGAGCTTTCAACATGTTTGTGGACTGAGAAGCAGCCAGTGGGGAAACACAAATCAGAAACACTAAGAGAAAGCAAGTAACAGATTTCATTTGAGAAAATCCTTCAAGTACTAGGGCAAAAACTAGAGAGGGGAGAAGACCAGCTGCGAAAGCACAACAATAGTCTTTACCAGAGCTCATAAATGCCCACAAGGCTGGACACGCAAGGATCTGAGGAAACCCCCAAGAAGTGTAGGACAACAGGCAGTGGTGAGGACCATGTCAAAGTAGCCGGCAACAGCCCCAGGTGAGAGGAAGCCGCTGCACAGCTCCGGGTCACTGCTGCCACGTGAGAGAGCATGCCCAGGTTTCTAAAGAAAAGTTACAAATCTAGATTTCTGTGACACCTATTTTTTTTTTTTTTGGTCTCTAAAACAATGTATAGTCCAAACAATACATCAGCCTGAAGCCAGGAGTTTGAAACCTCTGTTTAGCGCAAACAAGATATTTTGGACATAAAAAGCAAAGTACTATTGTGATCCACAATCTTTGGAGGTTTAGTGCAATTCCCAGACTTCTACTTTAGGAATGAAATATGGTCCTTTCAAATAGGACAGAGAAGAATGGGAAGGATGGGTGTGGGGAAGAAAGGGGAAAGTAAGGATTCCATTCTGACATGCTAATCCCAAGTATTAATGAATAACTTGGGCTCTAGGCTTGAGATTAAAAATTAGGCTCTTTGCTAACTGAATGACCTTAGAAAAGTTACTAAATGCATCTAACCTTAATTTCCTCACTTGTAGATAGAAAATAATGACAGTATTTCCCTCACAGTGTTGTGGAGAGGAAGAGATGGGATGAAACAATACAGCACTGATGAGCTATCTGTCACAGAGAACAGTCAATGAGGAGTAAGTGTTATTGTTGTGTTTATAATTATATATATCTCCAGGGTGGCTGGATATCCAGGCCCGCAGCTCTGTGGACTGACATGAACACCCACGTGGAGAAATCAGGGTATGGATTTTAATGGGAACCATGGAAATGAATGGGATTACCAAGGAGATGAAATAAACAGAAACAAAATAAAAGTAAAGAGAGAACTCTGGAGAATATCACATTTATGGGATAGCTAGAAGAGTCTAGAAAGAAAAAGTGTAAGAGTTAAGAAGACAACCAAAAGAAAGTGTCCCAAAAGTCTAGGACATTT